TGCTGCTTTGCTTATTTGGTCTTGAGCTTAAACCCCAATATCTGTCTCTGGGTCTTTATTATTCATGTTACAGCTCTCTAATTCAAGGTAAACTTTATTGCCAGTCTTGGGATTGTAAGAGTGCAACCAAAATAACCCAAAACAGATTGCAGAAATGGCTCAGCTGTTAAGAGTGCTTGCAGAAGACCTGGGTTGGATTCCCAGCATCCATGTGTCAGCTCCTAATCATCTGTAACTCTAGTTCCATGTTATTTATACCCTTTTCTGTCCTCTGAAGGGTACTAGGTACATGGTGCACAGACATACAGGCAGCCAAAACACTCATAATAAAATAAATCTCTCTTTAAAAGGGAGGGGGTATTGGACATAGTGGTGCTCATATTTAATCCCTGAACTCTGGAGGCAGAGGCATGTGAATCTTTGTGAGCTGGAAGCCAGCCTAGTTTACATAGTGAGTTCCAGGGCAGCAAGGGCTATGTAGAGAGACCCTGTCTCAAAAAAGGGGGGAGGAGCATGGTGGTGCCTGTTTTAATTCCAGTACTCAGGAGGCAGAGGCAGGAAGAGCTCTGTGGGTTGAGGCCAGCCTGGTCTACAAGCAAGTTCCAGGATTACCAGGACTACGTAGAGAGACCTTATCTCAATCAATCAGTCAATCAATCAATCAATCAATCAATCAATCAGCTAGTGACATGGCTCAGCTGGTGTTTTGTTTACACATCTGCTCACCAAACATTGGATCCCATTGTGACTATAATTACGTATGATTGTGAGCCACCATGTGGGCTCTGGAAATTGAAATCAGGACCTCTAGAAAAGTAGCCACTCTTAACCACTGAACCATCTCTTCAGCTATCCCAACTGAGTTCAAAGATAGAACCCATTATACTTGGAAAACAGGGAAACAGGCCAGATAAAATGTTGCACACCTGTAATCCCAACATTTGAGAGGTGGAGACAGATTAGGAGTTCAAGGGCACCCTCTGCCACAAAGTGACTTTGAAGCAAGTTTCACCTAAATGAGATACTGTTTCAAAAAATCAGGGCTCTGGAGAGATGACTCAGTGGTTTTGATTCTCAGCACTTACAGCAGAGGAAGGTGGGTCTCTAAATTTAAGGCCACCCTGAGATTCATAGTGATTTCCAAGACAGCCAGAGCTACATAGTGAGACCCTATCTCTGGGTGGGGGGGGGGAATCAGTTTTTACTATACATTTAAATTATTTTTATTATTTTGTTAGGCAGGGTGGGTGTTGGAGGCTGGGTGCCCGAGAGTGATGACATGTGGGAGTCAGAGGACAACTTTGCAGAATTGTTTCTTTCTCTCTCAATCTCTACATGAATCCCTAGGATCAATTTGAGGCCGTCAGGCTTCAGCAGCAGGTGTCTGCCTACTGAGCCAATTCACCAGTCCCCATGTATGATATTTCTTAAACAAAGCACTCAAATAGCAATATGTATGTGTACATGCCACTATTCCGTGTCAAACAGTTATGTGCACACTGACATAACTATTTAGGGGCTATTTTATTTCTCTATTTACTGGCTCTATGCTGCACAGTTTTTCTTTACGATACTTTAGCCAATTACCTACCACACCAGGAAATATTTTGAAGTTAATCGTCCGGGGATACTGGCTGTCTTCCATTCCTACTCCCTTTCACACTTTTCTGTCAATGTCTTACTCTCTTGTTGTGTTTACATTTCTCCCATGTCCCCCTTTCTGTGTCTTTCTCCATCTCGCTGTCTATTGTCTTTAGAATCCAAGGCTTAGATGTTGTAGGTTCTCCGTTTTCACTCGTAGGGTCCACTTGTCACCTATAGCAGAAGCTTGAGGCCTGAGTGGCCACCTTCATTTTCTAAAGCTTCTCTGATCAAGGAGGGAACTCCACCCATGCTCATGGACAGTGCTCATGGGAAAACACGCACCTCTGGCCCTGACCAGGTATACCCCTTTTCTCTGTTCCCGAGGGGAGGCCCTTTTCCCAGCCATCTCCTTGCTAGTCTTAGTCTCCGTCTCCCCGTGTTGATTCCTGGGCCCGTTTCAAAGACGGACCTTGTGGGCCCAGTCTGTCTCAAGTCCACTCTGGAGGTCTCCGCCTTCTGTCCCCTGTCTCCTGCGTGATCTCTGTCACTGCAGGGAAAAGTGGGCTGTGGCCATGCCAGGCTCTGGGTGCTGCCCCTGCCGCTCCTCCCGCCCGCAGGGGGC